GCCACAGAGGGCGTGGATTGACGATCTGAGCCAGCCAGTCAAAGGATCCAGGAAGTCGGTCATCAATGAGCTCACCAACTGCCTGGTCGACACGTGCGAGGCCATGCGAGAAGCAGGTCTTTCTATGGCCTCCAAGAGTGTGGTCCTTTCTGTACGAGCGCGAAGGATGCGAGGATCGTTGTTCGGCGAGTTCGCGCACGAGGGCATGCTCTTCGCGTGGCAGACCAGGCTGGATACCTCCGAGGAGATCTAGTCGGAGGCGCACGGCGAGCCAGGCGCTGCACGACGGCGCCAACGGTCAAGCACGCTTCCATGCATCGCAAGGTTCTCACGTTTCTAGCGGTCGCGCGCCGTTTTTCAGTTATGCAGCCGATTGGAACGACAAGGAGCTCAGGCGGCTTGTGCCTACAGGCATCAGCTACACGGTGTTTTCGGAGAGACGAGCCATTCGAGGGCCGCAAAGCATTGTTACATTTTTTTGCAAGCAGGGTGGGGCCCCCGTGCACCGACATGCTTCAACACACCATTTGATGGTACTGGAGCCGAGCACAGTCGGGAATTCAACACAGAGGCCTTGACAGGTTTTGAGGATTTGGATGTACCAGCTGCGTCGTTTGGTGAATTCGAGGCAAGTGTGAGACATGAGCTGTTGCAGCACGCATCCAAACATTTTGAAGGCAATGGCGTGGAACAGGGTATTTGTACTTTATCATATCGGCGGCTACTGCGACATTTACAGCAGGCACCCGAAGGACGTAGACTAGCTGGCCTCCTGTTGCGAGTAGCTGTCGGGGCGGCGTGGCCAAGGAGACGCCGCCAGACACGAACTAAGCAAGTGGTGTCCGCGATACGTGTGCGATGCCGCAGGGTCAAGGAGACGGCATTGCATCGAGTTCGGGGGCGTGATGGACATGCAGCAGGACATTGCATTTTTTGTCATGACAGATCATCCAGTTTGCAAGGCACTGGCACGCGGTGAAGCCGAGAGTTGTTTTTTGGACAATGGGTTTGAACCTTGCACCGTGGTTGGCGGTGGAGGTGCCACCCCGCGAGGCTAGCCGGCAGACCTCAGGTTTTCAATTCGGAAAGAGTTGTTTTGGATTCGGAAGTATCAGCTGCCCGCTCTTCGGATTCGGAGATGCGAGCGGCGGAGCTGATTCGGCGCATCCGATCCTCAGACGAATGGGGGTCGGCTTGGCTGTGCTTGCCGGCCTCAATGTCATCTCTGACATGGACTACGGGACGTGGGGGGCATTCCCAGGTCGGCGGCAGGTGGTCGCACGAGGAGGGCTACAGGCCCTACTTTGGTTTCTTGAAGGAGCCGACGGACACGCCGTGTTTGTGACAGACAACGAGGCGGTGACACTTGGATGGCACGCTTTCAGATATGAAAAGTCCGAAGGCCCCGATGCAGATCTCTGGTGGAAGATCAAGCATATACTCACCAGAAGGCCTTCGCTGAAGCGCGCAGCCCTTTTTCGTTCATTCGCATCAGGATGCGCTAGATCAGTCAGAACGCACGGCCCCTGAGCTGATCAAGGGGAATTCTGCAGCTGACAGGTTGGCAGGAGTCGGGGCCGAGCTGGCGCGCATTTCGCAGGATACGAGGGTGAGGTTTCACCAGGTCGAGCACATGGCCTACCTCGTGGGGGTGCGTATCCCCCAGAGCCAGCTGGGGGGCATGAGGGCAGAGGACCAAGAGCGTGCACAGACAGGAAAAGGTCGACGCGAGGAAAAGGCTGCCGCCGTGCGCCCGCCTGCCCCTGCTGTGTGCGCCTTGTTTCGATTTCAAAATTCTGTCAGCCCTCAGGACCCTCGTGGGTGTGTAATTTGTAAGGGGTCGACCACTAAGGTTAAACAAACCGCATGGCTTAGCACGCAGTGTTTTGACCTTGTCTTGAATTGTGAATGTGAATGGCTCTGTTTTCGAGCCTCCCCCAGGGCAGCGGGTACATATTGGAAGAGGTTTTCCGCATCCGAGCCATCAAATGAAGTATCACGCGGGGCAGGGGGTCTGGTTTTGCACAACTTGCCGGTTTTACGCAGCTCAACAGCTCGCTAATGTAGCCCAGGCGTGCCCCGACAGAATTCAAGGCAACCGGGTAGAGCATGTAGACCGAAGATCACGTAATTTATGGCCAACTACCTATAGCAAGGCTGAGCAAGCCAGGAAGGTTGAGGTCTCCTGGTGTAGAGCGTTCCCGCACTAGTCGTTATATCCAGAACTCCAGAACTCCTTTCCCGTCTCCTCCCCATCAGAATCCCCTTTACGGGGCATACTGAAGCAAACCAATTTAAACAACAATTACTCATTGCGTGGAGATCCCCATATGTGCACTTGTTTGTTCAACAAAAGGGAAACTGTCAGTGGGATCTTGGAATGCGCGTCTAGCCATGCAACGCAACATGCGCATACCATGTTGAGACAGCCCCACAGAACGGCCACGAACAGCGCCTTGAAAACACTCTTGGCGGCTCCCCCTGGGGGGGCTGAAACCAGCGCCCCGCCTGAGACATCCGCACACTTTACTCTGGTAGCCAAGGATGTTGAGAGAGAAAACAATCAAACGGCTTGAGACATCCCCACAAAACGGCCGCGAACGGGACCGTGAAATCATCCTTGGTGGCTCCTACTGGGGGTGCTGAAACCAGCGCCCCGCAATTCTGAGTATGAGTTAGTCTGGGTATAAGTGAGTCTCAGCATGCGTAGGTCTGAGTAGGAGTAGATCTGAGTATGAGTAGGTCTGACTATGAGTAAGTTTGTGTCTATTCGCATTGACCTGTCCGCCGTGAGTGTCTGGGCGCAAGGGTTTTCGAATATAAGCGGGTTTCAGTTGTGATTGTCTGGTCATGACTATAACTGAGAATGAAGTGGAGCGTGAATGAGCCTCAGTAGTACGAGCGCGTCTCTGCGCATGAGCCTGGGACCTCCTGGGGCCTTTTTGAAACCTACTGGGGATTCCTGGGGCCTCCAGGAGTCTCTTGGGGCCTCCTGGGACCTCATAGGGAGGAGCCGTGCCCCAGGAGAGGCCCAATCCATAGCAACAAACGTACATAAAACATTGCGGAGTTGAGCCACAGGATAAGGGGGCAATCTATAGGAACACACGTAAAACACCAAGGACCCGTGTCCCAGGAGAGGCCCTATAGGAACAGAAGTACACAGGAGAAGGGCACACCATAGAAACATACGTATAACAACAAGGATTCGTGCTCCAGGTGAGGCCCAATCTATAGGAGCATACGTGAAACACATGGGATGGGAGCCACTCCTGTTGCCTTCTGAGGCCTCCTGCTCCTTGGGCCTCTCGGGGCCTCCTGTTGCCTTCCGAGGCCTCCTGGCGCTTCTGGCCTCCTGGGGCCTCCTGTGGCTTCCTGGGGCCTCCTAGAGCCTCTTGGGACATCCTGTGGCCTCTTGAGTCTTTCTGTGGCCTCCTGATGCCTCCTGGGACCTCAAGTGGTCTCCTGGGGCCTCCTGGAGCCACCGATCGAGACATCCTCAAAATCTGGCCCAACAAGGGGGGTGAAAATGAGCGCCTCGCTTGAGACATCCTCCAAATCTGCTCCGAAAGCGAAGGATGTTGAGACAGAAAATAAGCAAACCGCTTGAGACATCCCCACAAAACGGCCGCGAACGTGACCGTGCAAAACCCCTCGGCGGCTCCCCTTAGGGACGTGCAAATGAGCGCCTCGCTCGAGACATCCTCCAAATCTGCTCCGAAAGCGAAGGATGTTGGGACAGAACACTAGCAAACCGCTTGAGAAATTCACACAAAACGGCCACGAACGGGACCGTGCAATACCTTTCGGTGGCTCCCCTTAGGGACGTGAAAATGAGCGCCTCGCTCGAGACATCCTCCAAATCTGCTCCGAAAGCGAAGGATGTTGGGACAGAACATAGGCAAACCGCTTGAGCCATCCCCACAAAACGGCCGCGAACGGGGTGCGCGTGAGTCTCAGCATGAGTAAGTCTGAGTAGGAGTAGGTCTGAGTATGAGTAATTCTGTGTCTGAGTAAGTCTGGGTATGAGTAAATCTGAGTGTGAGTAAGTCTGTGTATGAGTAAGTCTGGGTATGAGGAGGAGAATGAGGAGGAGAATGAGAAGGAGGAGAAGTAGGAGGCGTCCAAGTAATAACAATAACCCCATCTTAGGATACGGGGAACCAAATCCTGGGCAACTCCCCCCCCCTCTCCCCCCCAGGAAGTTCCCCAGGATGGTTGTTGCTTGTTTTTGCGATTTTTCCCAATGGTTTTGCTCGATCCGATCCTCCAACAGGATTCTGATTGGGAGGAGCAGGAGGCGGAGGAGGAGGAGGAGGAAGAAGAGGAGGAGGAGGAGGAGGAGGCCCAGCCGCGGCGCCCGATATACATCATGCGGACCCGCCGTCCCTCGCAGATTCCTCACAGTCGGGGCGCTGAAGAGGGACCCCTTTGTCTTTTGGGAGGGGCTCATGGTTCCTTAGCTGGTTCACAGTTCGCCTTAGGTGTTCCCCAGGTTTCCGGTGGGAGATCGAAGCTTTGCGTACGGACAAAGGGGGCCTCGTTCCTCATTTTAGGACTCCTTTGGTCAGCGCGCCGACTGTGTTCATCCTCATCATCCTCATCCGATGTGCTCCTCATCTTGCGTTCGTCTCGGCCCATTTCCTTGGGTCTGGCTATGGCATCGCGAGTCTCTTTTTTGCGACGGCCCCGATGCCCGGTGAGGGACCCAAGAGGCCGACCACGATGATCGGGCCGGGCGAAAGGGGGGGATTGGGAAAGGGGGGTTACGAAATTTGCTGCATGCAGCTGGTTTCGGTCTCACCGAGGGGCCCATTCCTCGATACATAGCCGCCTCCGGCGCCAGCAGGCGCCGGGAAAATCAGCTACGTGAGCTGATTCTCAACCCCCCCCTTTGCTATCCCCCCCTTTCGCCCGACATGAGATGAGGAGTTTCTGCCCCGATGTTCTCGAGACGCCCGATGTCGTCGCTGGGCGCTGGGCGGAGCGGCGCGCGGCAGGACCACAAGCCGGCGCGCATCGACGAGAAGAAGCGCGTGGAGCGCGCGGGTGGGCTCGTGCTGCAGGTGCCCTGCGCCCCGCGGCCCCGCTGGGGTCAGTCTCGACCCGACGGGTTCGCAGCGAATTCGGCGGGGGCGCTCCGGCGTTTTCGTCTGTTCCTGGAGTCGAAGGGGTCCAGGCTTAAGTCGGGCATGTCCCTCTACAAGAGGAAACATTCAAGAATAGTCAAGAAATAATCCGGGGACGATTTTTCGACTATTTTTGACTATGTTTGAGCATCTTTTGGCTAGTTTTCATTTTCCGTCTAACATCCGCCTGTAGGGGGACATGCCCGATCTAAGTCCAGGCCTCCTAGATGGGGTCCGAGTAGATGAGGTCGGAGGATCGCGTCCATCGCCGATGTATCGGCGACGTGGCTCGGTGTGGGGCCCCAATTTCTCCACGCCTGGCGTCGTCGATGCAACGCCGACGTCGCCGATGCGTCGCCGATGCATCGGCGACGCGGTGCAATCCTCCAATCTTATCTACTCGGACAACTTGAAGGCCCCTAGGACGACAAAGCGGCATAACAATAAATGTTCGGAGTTCCGCGCGGATTTTTTCGATCGGCGCTGGGCGGCCCAGGGTCGGTCCAAGACGTTCGCGCGGAGTTCCGAAAGTTTGCGTTTGTGCAGTTTGTTGTTCATTGGATGTCGTCGGGTTCCTGTAGTTTCTCTCGGCTCGGGACTCGTGCCAGCAGCTGCGCCTCGCTGAGAGCGTTCCCCGGGTGCGGGGCTGGTCGCCAGCGCCCGCCGGGGATCCGATCGGGGGCGGAAAAGAGGGGGGTGATGATAAAGGGGAGGTGGCTATCATGGCCGGGGCCATGATATCTCCCCAGATGTCATGGCGTTCCTTCTTATTTCACTACGTCCCTGGCCCCCCCGCTGGGGCGCGCACATGCCGCCGGTCATGATTTGCACCCCCCCCTCTTGGACACCCCCCTCTTTGCCGCTCCCGATCCGAGTCCTAACCCGAGCGCCGGGGAGGGAGAGCGCGGCCCCCCTGCGAGGGCCCGCTCCGATCCGATCTCGAGTCGGGGCCGATGCGGCTCGATGCCGATTGTTCTTCGCCGTGGAGAGAGCGGGTCTTGCGTCTGGACGCCCGAAATGGGTACTCCAGATTTCGTAATAAACGGAGGGGGGGTCTCATTTCGGAGGGGGTCTTTTCCAGGCTATCTTGGAGGGCCTGGGGGGGGGGGTCTGGGGACGATGTTCTGGAGGGTTCTCCCACGGGGGTGGGGTCTTAAATTGCTTGTCTTGGAGGGTCCAGACCCCCTCCCTTTTATTAAGAAAGCTGGAGTACAATGCCGAACAGCGAATCTTGTTCATTTTGATCAGGACTCGCTGTCCACGCCGCCGCGGCCCGTGTCCATTCGAGACAGCCGGCCGCCTGCCCAACAGCGGCCGCTGTTGGTTTGGAACAACATTTGTTGTTGGGCATTGTGCCCATTCTTTCCATACCCATTTCGGGCGTCCAAATTGAGGAAGCGGGTCCTGAAGTTTCTCGTCGCTCTCGGGCTCACGGGGCCCTCCACGGGCCCCGTGGCGGTCCGAAGACGTTTCAAGCCGACACTCTGGTCGTCGGGCAGTGCCGCAGGGTCCAGCGCCCGTGTCCCTCGGCACCCGTTTGGCTCATGCCGGTTTCCGTCGATCCGATGCGGCCCGACGCTTTGCATGTCTCGGGCCGGACGAAAGGGGGGGATTGGGAAAGGGGGGGTTACGAAATTTGCTGCATGCAGCTGGTTTCGGCCCCACCGAGGGGTCCATTCCTCGATACATGGGCGCCTCCGGCGCTGGGAGGCGCTGGGAAAGTCAGCTACGTGAGCCGATTCTCAACCCCCCCCTTTGCTATCCCCCCCTTTCGCCCGACCCGAATGTCGCTGTTGTGCATCATCCCGGCGCTGCCGATCCGATGCCCCGTACCGATGCGGCTCGATCCGACGCGCGCTCGGTCAGTCTCCCGCCTGGGGCACACCGAACACAGTACGATGGCTTCAGTGTGTTCGGCAAGGTCGTGCATCCAGCGAGTTTGGACAGCCAGTGATGTTTCTGTGCCGCACCGAGTCACGACATCAACAGCGCCCACCTTTGGGTTTCGACCGAGGTGTCCAAATGAAAGATATTTGTGGCCGAGGGATCTGGGACAGCAGATTGGCTTTACCAGCGTCCAATGGCGCTAGTAACTTTCAACGATACCAGAAGGGATGAGGCCGCCTGCAGTGACTTCAGCAACAGCTGCCAGCGCGGCCGGGCCAACCCGCACCCGCGCGATGCGGAGTGAGGAGGGTGTTCGAGTCTGTGCTTGCTCGTCGTCGCCGGCTGTGCTGTCGAGGTTGTTGAGCCGCTGACTACTTCACGGGGAGCGAGTTTGTTTAATTGTATCACCTGTCGCATGCTCCTCGTCTTGTTTCTAATACCTGATGCTAATGTTTTCTCATGCTCTCATGGTCTGCGTTACTCGGTGGCGTGCCGAGTATCTATCAAAGTTGCCGCTCTGAACTGATGTTCCATCTCACTAGGGATCCACGACCGCGATGACGGCACGTCCGCGTGCATGAGCACAGCCGATTGCGATATATCGAGCGGCGTGCCAATTCTTCTTGTGGCCATGAGGCATCCTAGCTCCTTTGCGAAAACTCAGTTTCTCGCAGTCCTCATGTGGCGTCTTTGGGGCCTCTTGGCGTTCCGTTTGGAGCGTCTTGGGTGCCTCGGAGGAGCCTCTTGGATCGTTTTGGGGGTCTCTTGGGAGCCTCTTGGGGAGTCTCGGGGGCCTTTGGGGGCCTCCTGGGCGCCTCTTCGGGCCTTCTTGGGGCACTTTCTGGAGTCTTGGGGGCCATTTCGGGGCCTCCATGTTAGAGGGGTTCGATCAAAGAAGGGGGGGTCAATTAGTCTCGCCCCTCTAGAGCCCCTGAAATCGCCGCTTGACCCCTTCTTCGAGCGCTTTTGAGACTGTTTTGGGACCCTCTTGGGCTCCTCTTGGGGCTCCCTCGGGCCTTGTTGGGGCCACCATCAGGAATCACGGAAGCGGAAAGGCGAGAAGGCAATTTACATTGATTTCATTCGGGTGTTTGCAGGTTTTGGGCTGTTCGGTGGTTTCTTGTGAAGGTTTTGTGACCATTTTGATCCGTCATAGAGGCGGTCCTGGAGCCTCTCGGAGCCGGCGCGACGCCATCTTGAGCCATCTCAGAGGTCACCTTCGGCGTCCGGAGGCTCCCTCGGAGCCACCTTGGGCCATTTTGAAAGCTCCACTCGGTCGCGAACCCCCCCATCCAAGCTTAGAGGAGGGTGTTGGGGAAGGGGTCAAGGTACCTTCCTAGATGGCAGGCCGTCTAGCTCACTCCCACCCGCCCTCCCAACACATAACTAGCACCCGAGTGTCAGCAGATCGCTTAGGAGCGCCACACCTGCCATGCGCGCCACGGGTTCCAGGTGCACCAGTCATCTTGGAGGCCCAAGCGTGCCAGGTGCGGCACATGCTCCACGTGCACCAACTGTGCCACCTGCTCCAGCCGCGCCGGGTGCGCCAGCTACGGGGAACCTATAGGGAGCCCAGGTGCTTTGGGCATTGGCCCCAACGAGCTCAGGATCTCGAATCCTCCTGAAGCGAAGTGCCGAGCATTATGTGAGAAGGCCGGCTCTTCTAAAGAGCGCAAAAATAACCGATGGACACTTTGTAACTTCTTGAGGAGTGTTGAAAGAGATGAGAGCTCAGAGAAATGAGAGCCTTGCGCATGCTCCAGAGCCACAGTGTATGCTTGCATTGCTTTTGTTAAAGGGATGGTTGGCCTGCGCGCAGCAAGCAATATGCTGGCATCCCCGCCGTCCCTGTCAAAAACCAATGCAAAGTGTTCGTGGGGCGCCCGCGCTTGCGCCAGATGTAAAGTGCATTTGGACTCGTTTTCTACAAGGGATGTGGGGGCTCTTAGGTCTGGGTTGGCTGCGGGTCGCCTGGGGGAGGGGCTGTTTGTTAACAGGGAACAGTGATAAGTCCTTCCCCGAATGCACAGAAAGGGGGCTTGGAAGAGGAAGCGCTCTAAGCCACCCGCGCCCTGAAAGGCGGGTGGGGTTTTCAGCGTTGGACGTTTTTGATCGATCTGGGCACCCGTTGCCATATGTGGGGCTCCCGATGCCAGGTTCCCCCCGCCACCGCAGGCTAAATATTGTAGCGTGGACACCTCTTCCGCACACCTCCCTTTCTCGCTGGTAACCGCCCCCATCAGTTTTGGAAAGGCAGCGTGGGCGCTGATGGGGATTGCAGTCGGAAGGGGGTGTACACCTCGTCGCAGCCTTCTGGCCTCAGAGGTGCGCTGGCGAGGGTCTCGTTTCACCGCCCCCTCCCCTATTGCACAACAATGCCGGCCGTAGTGCGTCATTCCGTTGCTCTCGATGCCAGTGCGCCAGGCGCCCGATTAGGTCACAACCTCTATGGGCTCCGCCTGGCCTGGCCTGCCCAGTCCTGGGCCCAGGCCTCGCACGGTGTTTCCCTGTCCCCGTGCTCCTCGCGGGGGGGATGTCTTTGGTGGATCTGGACACCGCTCCCTGATACCAGCCCCTCTTCTCCTTCTACTGCCTCTCCCCTCTGCCTCCGCCGCCACCCTCTTTCTTCTCATTTCACTCCCTCCTCGCCCCCTTTCTTGTGCCCACTGCATGGTGCACACACCCGAAGCGTGGCCTGTCCCGCCCCCCTTCCTCTCCATGGCCCAGATACGGGGTGCGTGGCGGATTGCGGCGTCCACGAATCCCAACTCCATGAACAAGTCCGCGCGCAGGGAGTACCAGGCGGCCGTGTCTGTACTGGGGGGGGTGAAGGACTGGAGTGGGTGCAGTGGATGGGAAGGGGGGGTGGGAGACAGGTGTTCAATCCCCTGGCGAGGATGGGCGTGACCCGGGGGAAGGGGGGAGGGACGGGTCACGTCACGATTCGCGCTGGCGCCGTCTGGGAACGCCTGGGAGTGTCTCAATCCCACGCGGCGCCAGCGCGAATCGAGACGTGGCCACGTGGGGGGGAGAACGGGGCCGATCACGGGCATGAATACGAATAGTGAGGGGCGGGCTCTTGTGCAAGGAAAGGCAGCCATGGATCGGAGGTGGATAGACCTCCTACCCTGACACGTCGATTGAGGGATTGGCCGTTCTCGGGTCGCGAGAGGGCGTCGCGGCCGTCGTTTTTGCGGGTCCAGGTCCGTCGGTTTCGGTCCCAGGCCGTTTTCCCTAAGGGGAGGTTTGCGAAAGGGGAGGTTTGTCCACCGCCGAATGGACTGAGGCGCGGATGAGCGACGGGCCACGCCTCCACGCGAGATTCGGCGCGTTCCGTCGCCGCATCGGGTGGCACGGGCGCCGCGCGGCAGGGGGCACGTTCCTCGACCCGTGTTGGCGTGCGCTTGACGGGTGGGCGGATGGAGGAGGAGGACGGTGCTTGGGGTGGAGCAGTGTAGACGCGGGCGAGGAGGGCGACGGCGAGGCTGCGGAAGCGGGCAGGGCGATTCTGTGGATGGATGCGCCACCAGACGGGGCAATGTGCGGGCCCAAGCTGCTCTTCGCCGCGACCGAGCGGTCGCCGATGCCCCATGATTTTGTGAGGGAGCACTCGCGACGGGGCAGCATCTCACGCCTGCACTTGCGCATGCGCTCAGACGGCGTGGACCTGCAGCCGATGGATCGGCGATGGATCGTCGATCCCAGGCCGATCCCCCACCTCAGTCGGACGTGGACCGATGTGCTCTTGTGCTCCCATCGTTTCGCGCCGTCCCATACTTGAACCTGCGCAGCTGCGCAGCCCTCTGGGTCGCGAGGAGCGCTCTTAGCGGCGCGCGCGAGGGGGTGGCGCTAGTTAGGGGGGCGGCGTTCTTGGAAGACGAGGGCCTTCTCAGAAGCGCCTGGATGCTTCTAAGAGGGCTTCTGGGAAGCAGGGGAGGCTTCTAAGAATCAACATGCCTCGCAAGAAGCCCCCAGCCGCCTTGGAAGGCCGCCCTATCGCGCCACCCCCCTAGAGCGCGCCGCTAGGCTCTGGCGGCCATCTGGACCTCCCTCGAAGCGTCGGGGTGCGTGGGCTCATCCGACCACGCGGGCGCCAGGGTTGAGTTTGTTTTTGTTGTTCTCATCCACTTCATGTTCGGGGGTTTGTAGAGGGGGGGTTGTCCCAAGGTGGAGCTGGGGAGCGGGCCCTGCTGGATACTTCCCTTTCACGAGGTTTCTTCTTCCAGGGGCCAACGCTCGGAGCGATTTTCCCTCCAGCCCCACATTTGCCCCTGCCCCACCTTTGGGCCCCCCCGACATGTGAGCGACGCAGAAAAGGGGGTCGTCTGCGCCGACACCGGAGTGTAAGCTGCCCGCGTAAGGTCGCGCGTAAATGCCCTCGTCTCCAAAGTAGCGTGTCGCGCTGGTGCCCTGCGTGAGCCTCCGCGGAAGGTCGCCACGTCATCTCACGTGAGACCCGTTCCCGATCGTCGCTCGTGCACTTCGTCCTCCGAGGCTCACGCTCACTCCCGTGATGCACCTCGTCGGAGATCTGGGAGGTGACGCGACGACGACGACGACGACGACGACGACGACGACGCCGACGACGACGACGACGACGACGACGACGCCGCCGCCGCCGACGACGACGACGACGACGACGACGACGACGACGGCGACGCGCGGGCCTCGGCGAGGGCTGGCGAGGAGCGGCGGCCCCGGGGGCGTCCCTCGCCGCCCCCGGCCGCGCGGCCCGTGGCTCCCCCGGTGCCGCCGCCTCCAGGGTTGGGTCGGGCATGTCCCCCTTACGGGGGGAGGAGCCTCCTCCTCCCCCCACAGGGGGAGGAGCTTCTTGTCCTCCTCCTCCTCCTCCTCCTCCTTCTCCTCCTCCTGCTCCTCCTCCTTCTCCTCCTGCTCCTACGGGACGAAAAAGAAAAGAGACCCCCCCAAATGCCCAACACATACTCAAGACTACGAGACAAACATCGTCCCCAGACTGTTTTTGTTGGACTGTGTTTGAATACACTCCTCCCGTAGAGGACACGCCCGATTTAGCTCCAGGGCTCATCTCGACTCCTCCGATGCCGTTCGCTTCGATTCGGTTTCGATGGCCTCCGCTGCCGATTCGGCTCGGCTTGGCATTCCGATTCGGGTTCCGATCTCTGCTTGGAGGCATGCCTAGCCTGCCGATTTCCGCCGATTCGACTCGGCTGCCGATTCGATCCAGTTTTTTGTCATTTCGATCGCCGATCCGACATCGATTCGATTCTGGGCTGCCCCTCCCCAGCAGAGTGCATGCTCTGCGCTGTCGGTGTGGCGGCGCGGAGGCACCATCACCCCACGGGTCGAGCCGAAGAGCAGAGCCCAGCATCACCAGGGCTGGTGTTGGTCATAGGTGCAGCCCCTCGCTCGTGCCTCGGGGGCCCGAACTGGATAACTCGGGCGTCCGACCACTCCCGAGTCATCGGGGCTGGGGGTGATCAGGTAACACCTGGGTCGTGCCCC